TGGATAATGATTTTAGAACATCCACATCTAGAATTTTTTTTTATTAATAAACAAACGTCTCATCCTCTTCACAACAGTTGTAAATGACGTAGTAGATCCATTCCATGAATGTTTAAAAAAATATCCAACAACAATTTAAATTTTAAAAGAGAATTAAGGCATATTTCCTGACGAAATGATAACCTCACTAGATGTACTGCAGGTGGAATCATTTTTGGGACAGGGATCACAAATTTTCATCTTTTCATACAATTGCCATTATCTGAATCCCCATATTTCCATGAATTATTTCATTTACTCTCTGCTACTATTCATTGTTGGTTCAATTGTAGGATAAAACTGTAATAGATTTGTGTCCCGTTTTCTCTGTTACATGTATTAGCTGTTCCTAATCTCAGCTTCATACAAGCGGGTCGCCGGTGTTGTTCTCAAAGAATGTTTCGAATATGTGTCCCTTAAATCCTCATTGTTCACAAAGATTGCGATATTTTTTGTCAAAACTTGAACACTAACTTCAGATTCTGCATACCTACATGTACAGGCTTCTGCTTGTGTCTACCTACTTTTGAGTATTTATCGACCTTTTTCCTGTATTTTGGAGAAATATGCATTACTTTCTCCATCCGATGAGGACATCCTCTTTCATGTAGCTTTACATTGGAAGTGGTCAGAAATGAAGTGAGCTATCATTTAAATCTAAATTTACCTGGCACTGTCCATTAAGTTAAACAATACATCTATATTCTTTTCTTCTCTCACTCTCTGGACAATCAAATGTATGACGTAATCAAAGCAAATACATTACCATCACCTGGGACAGTTTATTAAGTTAACAATAGAGAAAATGTTTTAAGTAGGATAAAGTCCGAAAACTGTCCATTCTGTGAGAGAAAAAACTATTCTCTCACAGAATGGACAGTTTTCGGACTTTCTCCTTTACTTCAATGCATGTAAATTTCTAGTCAGTCTCAGGGGAATCACACTTGTACCTTTCACCTATGTAAATATATCATGTATTGTTTAATTTTAGTTGATCCCTCTTAATGATTTGTTATACATTTTACTTTATGTCATTGAATTAAATGACAAAATCGACAAAACTGCATATCTTTGTTTATTTTTCACTGCACTATCGGGCTGTTTTTTATCATACATGTAGGAGGCATAGAAGTGTTTATCGTATGGACTAAATATTGTTTTAAAACATCACGTATTTCATGAGCGTCTAATACTAAGCTATGCAGACTTTAAATGGACATAAGGAAAGACGTAAAACGCGGAGAAAAGAGATTATACATGAATGCATTTCTCCTAATCAATATCTTATCTCGCATACCAGAAACTGCATGGACGGTTTTATTATAAACACCCAAAAATTGTTAAGACTGTTATCCATTCGATAAGATTTTTATGTCAGGCTCTTAAAACTGAACATTTTCCGTTTTTATATCAAATTTTTAACGTGAGTTGAACTTTTTGGATTGCTACCTCCTTTATCTAGTGACAGATTTCTAACCCCATTTTAAGCAACTGTCATAAATATTATATCATTAATAAATGTGCATAAAGTTAACAAAAATGTTGTTCTGAAAAAATCTTTTGAACAAAAAGCATAAAAAAACATGTTTTATTTATGTATAAATTTTGATATCTGATTGATCAGAAGGACTAGCACCTTGTTTATGCTTTGTATAACAGCTATTCACGGTTATCGGTCTTTACTTCCTTATTTGGAAATCAAGACCTGTTAAAAATTATCAAGTATTTTCTTGGTTACCTTAAATTCAAACTCTTGTTTGTATAATTTCAAATTGCCATGAACATCTAATTTCAATGCATGCAATATTCTAAATAAATTTATACAAAGAGAAAGATTCTCATTTGATTATAACAGCATATGTGCTTGTCGGAGTTCAACACACATGATCAACGTCACTTTTTAACCTTTTTTACCTGACAAACTTTGAACACCTTTACTACTTTTCTTGTCATTTTAATCTTTTTCGTCATTTAAAATTGAATACTTTGAATGCATTTTATTTTTCAATGACCCTTTTAAATATTTCCTAGGTTCATATGTATATGCCAGTTTTCCCAAGCGTGAAACTTTATAGAATGCTGGAAAAAGAAACCCATCCACCCCCTTTCTGACGTCATTGAAACCCCCAAGTTGTTTGGACATTTCATCTAAAATTTACGATAAAATTTAAAGGAACTAAGTCTTGCAGAATGGGGTAAAAATTGTAATTTTTACGACGAAACTGTGTCATGCAACTTGAGTGAATTAACGGCAATCTTTGATGTCTAGGTAGAAAAAATGTAATCATTGAGGTTGCGCCGCCAGGACATACCATTGCTTTCTAAAACATCAACAATTTATTTAAAAAGATAACTATTGATGTATATTGATGTATATTCATTTATTTAACAAAACATTATGCTAAGTAAACGTTAAAAAAATCATTGATGTACTTTAAAGCGGTTTTAATATCATGGCGAACAAATGGATGCGCAAATTTTAAGGTAAATGAAAAATGTAGAATGCAGTGATGACAGAGGTGTTGCTTTTATACATTCAAAATAACATGTCGGTCAAAAATTGATAGCTTTAATTCATTATTTCAATCACATGCACATCATCCGTGTTAATTTAAAAATTTGATCATAATGTTTAATAAAAAAAAATCACATGAACTCATTTACTATCCCTTGAATATTTGTATTATTTTTTTTTTTAATTTTGACATGTTATTTTTTTTATGCCTGCCTTCTAAAATTTATTTTATATTTCCTAGAATTTAAAAAATCTCTATTTTTATTGATATTATAAACACCCATTGGTTTCCACCTAAATATTTAAATCGGTTTTAGAAACTGGTTTTTGAATTAAATGGAATTATTTTTATTTTTGTTTACATTCATGAAGTTAGGCGTGAGGGTTATTTAGGGGTTTAATCTATAAGGTAGTCCATTTTGATTTTTTGTTCTCAATGATTTTATTTGACCCCTATCAAACTCTGAAGCTTCCAAAGCACGATCTTTTGATCCTTTCCCAAAAAGTTTCAATTTCTCATTTTAAACAAAATATCTAACATAAAGTTATGGGGAATAATTATTTCATTTGAAATAAATTTGTATTGTTTATATATGCAGAATGAGTTATTTTAATACCCCTGATTATATACCTACATGTACTTTACTACTTTCCAAACTAATTAAAATATCTGTGTTAAGTAACCTTCTATCCTATTACACCTACAATTCAGTGAAAACCAACGAACTGAATAAGTAAAAATATAGTGAACATCTTGTATACAACCTATTTATCAAGGGAAAAGTATTTGTGTTGCTTACAATTACCTATCTTGCAAAAGACCTTTCAATTACGTTTTTTATTGTGAAATATAATCATTTTAAAATTATTTATTTAATTACTTTTAGAGATGAAAAATTTACAATATTTAGAAACTTGAACCTTTATCTCGAATCATTTCTTCATGTAAAGCAAGAACCCGTCGATAATAATTGTACGTAGCTTTAAAAGAGTGTGTTATTATTAATAAATATAGAATGTACAAGATGCATACAAGATTTTACAGGTGGCAAGTTTCACAGTTCGATTTCTACAGTACTATTAATATTAATCGTCTTTGTCTAGGTATGTGTCAACAGTCATAGTGGCAAACTGCATAAGGTTTCAGACTTGCGAGATCACAAAAGGCATTTGTCAAATATTTTTTGCAAGATTTTATAATGTAATTATAAACTTAGTTACAAGAAAAGCAAATTGCTTAATCCTAAAAAAGCAAATAATAATAATAATAATAATAATAATAATAAAATTGAAAGGCCATTGAAAAAGTACCTGCCATTCGGTAAACTGGATAAGATTATAGTTAGTTATCTGACAAAGTTTTATTTCGGTGAATTTTCAGTGCCCTTTTACTGGGCATCAAGGTACAATGGTAGACTCAAAAGGGAGACTTTGAAGTCTGTTGTTATTATATAAACAAAAAATGGTAATTTTAGATAATTTAATTTTTTATTCACTTAAAAAATATGATAAACCAAAACCTGTTATATTTTTCATCAAGGAGACTGTTAATAATGATAAAAAATTTTTAAAGCTAGATAAGTATTAATGCATAGCTTAAATTTGATTCAAAAAATAAGTTACTATTCCTTTCCCTTATTTTGCATGAAAAATCAAATATGTTTGGAAATCATTTTATTTGTAATAAAATATAAATAAACCTCTACATATAGCTCAATTAATGATATATTTCAAGCGCATTGAAGTGCCATTATTGCTATGACTTCAACTGCATATACATGTACGCAAATTTCTAATAATTTCCACGAATAGGCTAAAGTGACTAATACAGAACAATAAACGTTTCTTTTACGTAAAACCATTGGCAGACAATCACTACGAACATGTAATAATAGCATTGATTGGTTACCAATCTCTATTTATAAAAGGTGTATGTTGTGTTTTTAAAGCGTAGAAGATTATCTACACCCTTGATTAAGTTGTTAAATATTATAGGAGGAATTTTAAAGGCTTTAGTCCGTTTATTTGAAGTTAAACTGATGTAAACTTTACAGAAAACCATTTCAGGATTCCAAGGATCCCTAGCTAAAACAAAGTTTTTTTGACAGTGAGGCGGTAAACGTTTTTCGAGGGTAGAAAAAGGAATAGCTCTCATCGGATACTTTTGTCAACAAACGCTTACCAGAAAAATACTTATTGATACTTTAAGGTATGTCTTAAAACCTAAACAAAACGATTTTCTCATCTATATAGACTCCAATTTTTCATCACTCTGCATCAAAAATATATATATTTAGGAGTGTATGCATATTTTTGTTTTCATTTTTATGAATCAGGAAGTACATATTAATGCCAAGATGGCAGAGGGTTAATTTATTTTCCAACTGAAATTACTATTAAGATATTTTTTTTGCAGTAAACCAAGCACTTTTTTTGTTTAACGTATCGAGTGCATTTTCATACTCCATAAAAAATTAAATTAAATTTTATTATACTCATAGACACGGTCTCAAATAGGACATGGGAACTTAGTTATTTATAGATTTATGACGTACATATTTTTTAAGACAACAGTATATAAAGCAAAACGAAAAGATACAACTGAGCCAAAAAAAAAGTCTGAATGAAGAATAAAAAGTGCAATATGCTCTCATTTTAGTATTTCACCCTAATGGAAAATAAAAATGTTTAATTATATGAGATAAACGTTTATAATTTTAATTATTCTATTTAAGTCACAAAGGAGTTTCAAATGACAAGTCTATAAAAAAGTTTGTTTATCAAAAGTAAGCTCCGGTGTTCCTAGTCCAATAGGAACACTTTTCAATGATCTAGATTCAGATTCTTTACTAAGTTTGAGAGATTGATCAGTGTTCGTTCATGTAAACATGAGTCCATACCATTAATTTAAAAAATTGTATTGCGCAATCTTACCTTCTTGATTGATTTTTAAATATACCCGTATGATGTTTTTATGTCGGCCATTTTTCTTTAAAATTTAATTTGTTTTTAGAGAGTCTTAATACTATTCCTACATTGAATACTGATAGCTCTCAGCCCAAGCATTCAACACTTATTATGCGACTGTGTTTAAAAAAAATAAGGCGCGAGGGTTACTAGACTATAACTCTCAGATTTCCTTTTTAAGGATTTAAATTTGAAGTGAACTACTTAAGAGTTGTCGTTATAAATTGTCAATTTAAGCTGATATTATTGACAGATACATATACATGCATATGAAATTAAATTCTGAATCATATCATACTCTGATTTTTTTAAATACAAAATTTATCGGTTCCTATAAAATGAACATAAACAAATCAAAACATAAAAGGACGCTACACTGCATGATTCAACTTGAGATAAATTGTAATTATATCCATTTCTACACATTTCATGATACACCTACATGTAATCTTCAACTATTCCTACATTGAATACTTAAAAAATATTCAAAAGACTGGAGTGATGAAAAAAAACCCTTCACATCTTGTATACACAGTGGATTTCAAATATCGTGAGATATGTTCCAAAGAGTACAATTTTTCCTTCGTTGCTGCATTTTAATCTTGTACAGAATACACTTCTGGTGGTGATTTGGATATTGCATGTAGCTACCGTCAAGGAAAGATGATTTAATTAAACTATTTTCAAAAACACCATTCATGCTGCGTTAAGTAAATAAGATATATCAATGTTCCGAATTGATACATGAGATGCATGCAGTATTCTTAGGTCAGTACAATAATGGTTACTTTTCTTCCAAAACATTGAGATAATTTTTCATATCCAGCATGCAAATTTAATGTATTATCATGAGGAGGACTATCTCAGTATGTGCAAAATGATTAAAATCAAGACTATCAATAAAACGTACTTGAATTCCCTAGTCCCTTTTTGAAAAATATCACGTCAACATCCTTTTACTGTCGTTAACATTAAATCACAAAAGAAATGCTAAGTTGTGCTGAGTGTATTCATATTTACTTTATGTTCTTTTTACTGTGTTCGTGTGTTAAATTTCATTGACATAAACAGGTGTTTAACATCCCTTATGTAGTGCGTTGTTGGTAAAAATTTTGTCCTTCACCTTGACTCGTTCTAATATAGATTACGCAAAACAAGAAAAGAATGGGCGTAGAGACTACTGATAATATCACAAACGCATTGATTGGCTAACAGGTTAGGATAGATATTAATATTTCCGTTGTTCTTCTGATAATGTGCTCTGATGTAGTAATCGTTACTTGCGTAAAACTTCCTTGATTCAGACGGATCTTAGTCATTGCCTGGAAAAATATTTTATTCTTCTAACGAGGATTTGCCCTCTTCTGTCCTGTTTTTTCTTGTTGCTGTTTTATACTGTGTAGTGAAGCAATTTAAAGGTCAAGAATTTTAACCAAATTTTCATAGAAAAATAATTTAAGGTAAGTTTTAAAGCCCTTCACAAAGAATATGCTTCAAAATTCCATTTGGGGTTTAAATGATCTCACCAATAATGCATTACGTTAAATCTAAAGCCTTTTTTACAACTAGAGAGCATAATCAGGAAGGGTATTCAATATGCCTCGGCGTGAAAGTTAAAAAAAGCAATGCTTAAGATTGAAGCGTAACATTTTTTGATCAAAGTTTTAATGATAATTTTTCTCTTTCAGAACTATGATTCAATTTTTAATACCCAATTGGCAATTCTAATGGCTGGAATTTCATCGAGATCAATCGGCGTAGATACCCATAATCCCAGAGACGATTTCCGTTCACTCCCTTTCCATTTGCTCCACGATATTCAGAACAAGATTCCCTCTATTTCATTTGTGTCGGAGCTCAGCAGTGTCGGAAAACACCATTGCCACCTAGCCAACGGAAGTTTCTGGGGAATTTGGGCAAGTGCCGATCATGGCCTCATCCACGACAGGCTCGATTGATGTCCAGGTAAACCACAATAGAGACAATGTAAAACGGCATTGTTTGCTAATTATAAGAAAGATGATGGAAATCTGGCTTCAACAGAAGACCCCCCCCAAAAAAAAATCTTTTAAATAAATTGCAAACCATGTGAATTTAGTCTGATGACCCAAAGAAAACTAAATTTAGCAAATATCTTCAATGCATGAGATTTTTTTTTTTTTACAGTATTTCGAATTTTTTAAAATTTCAGGACAATATTTATTTTGAAACCGTTTCTTGATGGTTTTGTCCCTTGAAACGAAATTTGGAGATATTAAAGAGTAAACGCCCATTAAAATAATAAGAGAGAAGACCCAGACCTCTAAAATCAAAAGAATTTGGATCACTTTGGATCAGTTTGGATGAGAAAGTATCCCCTGTCCGTTGGTCATATTTGCTGTGCGTTTCTAGTCACATTTGGGCAAACAGAAATCCCTGCATACAAGCGTGTAAATATTGGCTTAACAATTTGAATGAAAAACGTCAGTCAGCGTTTAACTTAATGATTTTTTGTTGACAACTTTATTGTATTAATTATAAGACTATTTATATATTTGATTCATGAACTTGTTTGTCAAAAGCTTGCCATGTTAGAACTACTTCATACTGATTAGCAGCAGAAACAGACGGTGCAAAACTGAGTGATTTGAGAAATTTGAATTCGATATAAGTAACTGATATTTCATATGATATTTACACACAAAAGCTTTGCAATTATTATAAAGAACATAAAGAAATATACAGATTCGAATATTTTGTTTCAGCCTGAAGAATGGCAGCGCCATTCCAATAGAGTTCCTCATCCCAGAGTAATACCCAAATGTTATCACACTGAAAGCACTGCACTGCAGAGACTGGCAACATTCTCGGACATTGATGATCACAGCATCATTGCCAAGATTTCTTCAACTCGACTAGCCGGAAGTGGCTGTGTCTACAACAGTGAGGAAGAATATATAGAATGCACGTATGGAGGAAAAATTACAAAAATTAATGACAGTATGTTTCCAAATAATTTTAAATAAAATGATTGAATTTTTAATTGAGAAAATGTTCATTTGAAAAATTACATGTTATATTTTAAATATGTATTTCAAAGGTCCCACTATGAAGACTTTGTATGACTTGAAGCACTATCACCATCCATTATGTGGTGCTTTGACAGCGTACATTTCCAAACAGGAACGAGAAATTAGTCAGGGAATCGCCATTAATCTGCGTATCCTAAAGAGATCTCGTAGCCAGCGCATTGGTGGTACATTACTAGCAAATACAACACTCAAAGCATTAGAATAAAAAAATATATATAGTAAATAGTCAAGCTTAATCTATTTAAAGCACAAGTGTTTGCAAATAATATTCATGAACAGGTGATCATTTAAAACAAGATTAAAATAACAAAATAACTCATTATCTTTTATGCACCTTTTTTTCAAAAGAAAGTACTAGTTCTACATTATATTCCGGTAAAAGCTATTTACAATCATAGTAATTAGCAGATAAATTACAAATGATTACAAACTGTTTTACTCACATTTAGGTACTCATGGTTTCGACAGTCTCATCCACGTGTATGGCATCACTCCAAGGGGAGGTGACTTTGATGTGGTGCTTGATTACATGTAAACTTTCAGCTGTATTTTGAATACCAGTAAAACAACTGTGATTCAAATTTATTTCAATATAATATTTGCTGTTGAAACGAATTTCTGTGTAAATTTGAATACATCCTGATTACTGATGTATGTTCTTGAAAAAACAAGGTCATTGAAGTGTAAATAATATTTAACATCGTGTAATGTGTATCCTTTGAATTTGATTATGGCAGATTATAGACTGGTACATGTAAATGTAATCTGTTAGAAGAATGCTCCTATTCCTCCTATTATTGTTTTATCACTCCCGAACAATTTTTTTTGTTCATAAATTTTATGAAATTTGAAGACGAGTCTGATTTGCTAATTTTCCTCTGAGATTCAAAGTGATTCTAAAAATGTAGAGTTCTTTGTTTTAAAAATCCAACCAACTCTAATGGGTTTGTGTTTATTGTTATCCAATTACAATGCTTTATAATCTGAAGAAATGATTTAATCAAATTTGGCGAAAATTATCCATAAGTAAACCGTTCGGCTCTGATAGGCATTCTATATACTGTAAATTATTGTAACATGCGAATTTCATTTCATATTATGATGAACTTAAGATTTTGTAAATGATTTTGCTGTATGTATTTTTTTCTTTTGAATTAAGCGCTAATTCGGGTTGGTATTTAACAGTTTAACCATTTGTTTAAATGTTCTGGTTGTTTGATCATTTATCTAAATTATTAAATGACCATTCCAATTTTGCTTTTTCAAACAGAGAACCGCCATATCAGGTATCCTTTCAAACATTTTTTTTTATACAAACGGATCTTGTATTTTTACCTTCAATGAAGGGAGGTTTACATAAGGAAACTTGATACTGAGAATAAAAACATTTTTGTACATTAGTTCAAATGATAAATGCATAAATGATGCGGTTAATGTAATTTTGTAGTATAATATGCATTCACTTGTATTAAATTAAAACGTTAATACTCAAAATTTGAAAATATACTCTTAAGTGTGAAAGAAAAAGTCAAATATTGTATATGATAGATTGCCTTTACATATGACATCTAAGAACATGGTTTACCTAATTTAAAAACTTTGTATAATTTTGTACAATATAATAAATACTGCATGAGGCCATCCTTAAAAAATTGTTTGTTTGGAATTGCCGCCTGGGGGTTTTCAGACCCAGGAGGGAGGGAGGCATATATATTTTTTTTTTTTTTACAAATTGAAGCTAAATGATAAGAAATGAAAATCTCAATGAACATTTGTGATTTTTATTAATTTTCCTCTTATTTTATTAATATTTTTTTTGTTTTGATTTTGAAAAATTATATATACAGATTTTGAAAAATTATATATACAGAACAGTTCTAAAATATCAATCTTATTTAGATGTTAGATCTGCTCATTTAATAACAGTCAAATTTCAGCATCAAACATTCCAGTTTATTTAAAAAAAAATTAAACAATAATTTTATCAGTCTAAATCATAGCATTTCTCTTGAAATTTAGCCCTTTGTTAAGACAACCCTTACAAACAGTGCGAACCACACAAAATTTCTTAAGAATAGTTACCAGGGTGTTTTGTGGAAAAGCAGGAACGGGTGCTTGATATGTTCTAGAGCGTGCACCATGATTCAGTTTTAACATTACGTTTCAAGGACTTGTCATACTGACAGACAACATTTTTCCTTTAGTATTCGGGATAACAGATATAATCTGATCCATGTATTTTTTTAACTGCATGGGATCTAAAGGATTATTTTTAATTTCAACATGATGGACTAAGCCTATCAAGTTCAACGTGCAATCTATTACAACAGCTTTTTCCAGGTATCAGTGTACCATTCTATTTAATTTTTTATTCACCTTTTATTTTTATGGAGATGCATAAATGTTCTGCTTTTCAACGCTCGAATGCACATCCACTGACCCAGCCTGGTCTGACATTTTGGCGGCTTTCAGTTTGTCAAATCACCAAATCGCTATATCATCAATACTATGAAGAAAGCGTTTTATTGACTGGTGTTGTTAAATTAATGAGAGCAGCGATTTTTTTCCCACCTATTGGGAAAGGTCCGGTACCGGTTCAATTGAGAAAAATAACATCAAAGAAGAACAATGAAAATTTTCTCTTCTTTAATCAAATAAAACGTATGTTGTGCTTATTCCAACTAAATAACCCATTACTACGTGTTTTGAAAAATAAGCAACAAGAACTTATTGCATTTTTTATCAATGTCCCATGTTTTCCACATCTCCATGCTTTCAATTTGTCAAAATGTATAGATACTACGCTGTTTACTCCACAGGTCCCGCCAAATTACGACTTTCTCTACTTTCGATTTAAGCAGAAGTGAAACAATTAGTCAATTTGTACATTGTTTCATTTAAAAAGAAATATGATGTCGTGATAGTCTGCTGCTTCACAGTTGAATAGGGAATTTTTGGTCACAAAATTGGGAAAAATTAACGTTTTGGCTTTGGGAATGGTGCAGTTTATCGGTACCAGTTATATAAAGGAAAAACGCTGGAGCTCAAACTCGACTTTAAAAAGCTTTTTCGACGAACGAACTTGTAATAAACAATGTTAGACGATAAAACGGTAAAAAAAATAATATTGTCAATATTTTGCCAATAAAATTTTTTGAGCGGTGGGTATTTAAATGAGGCGGGCGGCAATTCCAAACAAACTATAATTTTATTTTGGCCTGAGACTTTTTTCTTTTGTTATTCTAAAATAATGTTTCATTTTTTTTAAGAATATTTAAATATGGAGATAAAATACCGTTCTTAAGTTCAAATATCTATAGAAAGAACATGTTAGTCGGACTTAATTTTGTTTAGTGATTGATATCTACAAAAAGGAATATAAAACCCTCGTACATTAATTCGTGGAAGATGTAAATTCAAGGACGAAGCGTACCCCAAATTTTTAGCCGGGCGAAATATAATGATTCCACACAATAAGTGTATGAAAATCGTAAATTAGAATTCTATTTTATCAAATATCGTATATCTGAGAACGTCATTTTTACAAAGAGTTTATAACTTAATTTTGAATGCGAAAGATAATGATTTTTTATGAACAAAACTTAAAATCAGATTATTTTCTGCAGCCCCGTTTTATTTCACTTTTAACATGCATAAACATTGGCTTTGCTTATGTAATATTAAATTTCATTAATTTTTTTTCACAATAGGAAATGAGGAAAGTTATTTTAACCAAAATTATTTAAGCCATTTGGATTTACCAGTATGCTTGTAAGGGACACGGATTAAATATTCAAGGAGTTACTAAGTATAGTAGAAACGTATTCTTTGAAGAAAAAAAATACATCTCAGATATTCAATCTCTATTTTTGTTTTCAAGAGTTGTGATATTCTTTAATATTCATTTTTTAAAATCAAATATCACGAGCTTTTCTCTACCTTCTTTTAAGACATTGTCATAGGATTTTACAATATAGTTTAATACATTTCCATGATGATGATTATGATCCTAGGTTGACAAGCTTCAACTCATTGATACCAAAATCAGTACATATTATGTTATAGAATATTTTGCAATCTACCTTGATCATGATTGGACAAAAAATCTACAAGTTGAGTCATCTATGTCTTTTCAGAGACATGGTAATTAAGGCGTGTTTAGTAAAACTGACCTACATAACTTTGTATTAAAGGCATGTGTGGTGCCGATTTAATTTTGGTTAAAACCATTGCTCGTGAGATAAAATGATATAAGATTGATTAATTGAATATATTTATAATTAATGAATCACTTTGTTAAAATATGTTTTATAGGCAATTTGAAACTATCTATTTCAAATTGACAAGCTTAAACGTATTTTAGACGAGATTTTTCATAATCAACTATAAATTCAATTTCATTATCATGTCTATTAGTATATAAAACAACAAGTGGTTAAAAATTTGTAAATTGGTTGTTCTAATAGGGGAAAGAAATGTTAAAGTGTTAAAGGACTTGGTGACCCAGTCACTTTCTATCCTATCAACCCAGTGAAACAGTCCTACATGTACACAACTCTCTGTTTTGACAAAATTAGTGACAAATATATTAAAATGCCTTCAATCGACTTTGATATTACAAAAAGTCCAATGAAACCATGCTAGGACAGGTCTTTAAATAAAATATTTTTTGAATTTTTTAAAATTAAGAAATTCTGAGAGAGAAACAATCGTGTAATGTACATATACATTTAAAGAATTTTATATAACGCTTGTTGTTCGGAGAGTAGGATTGATTGATTGATTGTATATTGTTTAACGTCCCTCTCGAGAATTTTTCACTCATATGGACACGTCATCGTGTGCCGGTTAAGGGCTTCAAATTTAGACCTATACTTGGCACTCAGGGCCATTGAGCAGTGAGGTTTTCTTTATAGTGCCAGCGTCTACCGTGACACGGGACCTACGTTTTAAGGTCATATCCGAAAGACCCGTGACTTTCACTTATGATGCCGAGCGGTTGGCGAAGGAACAGTTGCTACCAATTTTACGTCTTAGGTTTGACGCGGCACCACGAAGGAGAATTGAACCCGGGCCTCCCGATCACGAAGTCTGATAGAAAGAAGAAATATTAATATTTCTTTATTCTACCAGAACAAGCGTTATACGACGGCATTATACATTTTTTTTAATCAGTTGAGGTTTTATATGGACATGTTCATAAAATTGAATTTAGGTCCTTGTTTAAGTATTCCTATTACTTTTAAATTTGTTTATTTAATATAAACAGTTCTAAACGTCTTTGAATTAATTATTTAACAACATTAAATATATATAATTAAATAAATACTAGTATAATTAAATATATTCAATAAAGCCATTCCATTTCTTTTACATGCTTTGTCATTAAATATTTAACCTCTAGAGCGAGAACATTAGTCAAAATTATTTTGGTACCATACGTAATTATGTGTCAGAATTATGTAGGTCAGTAGGTCAGTTTTACTATATAAACCTTAAAGTTCAAGCCTCGAAGGAAATAGATGTATAACTTGTAGACTTTTAAATGAAAAGTATTTTGGCTAGGGTTTGTCAAGTTATAATCGAGACAGATTGCAAAATATTCTCTATCATATACTAATTTTGGTATCATTGAATGAAAGCTCGAAAATATTTGTATTAGTCGATTCAACGTCCAATGAAAATGTTTTAGATTATTTTGAAAATCCCCAGACAAATTATTCAAATGAAAGTAGGAAAATCCCAGGATCCCATGATATTTAACAGAAAATAAATGATATTAAAATCACAATGCTGGAATAAAAATAAATAATGTGTATCAAAAGTGTGAATGTTTAATTTAAAAACAATTCTTTTCCGCAAAACCTTCAATCCCTTAGTGCATTAAATGGTTTATCATGGTTCTATTTAAATTTAAATTTTTCTTCCATGCATTTTATTAATTGCGGGATATTTGTTAACCCAGATGGCATAGATAAAGATGATTTGAAAAAACAAATAATCTCATCTTATTGTTAAGAAGATCAGTATCAAATACATTGTACAATTAAAATGGAATATGAAAATAAATATTTATGCATGTTAAAGGTAAAACGAAAAGAGACTATTGTAAGCGATCTGTTTTGCAGTGTTTTAAAATAATATAAATTGAGATAACGAAAAGGATGTAAATTTGCGAATGACGGGTACCCACAAATTCCACAAATAAGAGGCACTACGAAATCTAATGATTCCAAAGTAATTGTATGAAAAATAAGTTAGCATAAATTGTACTAACCATACATTGTACTTGCTAACAAAGTTATTGTTGCAAACATCTTCATAACTGAATTGTACAGGTAAATGTGGAATAATTCAGAAAATACAATTTATCATGAGTCAAATGCTGACTGATGTTTTTCATATTAATTTTTAGTCTATTATATTCCTTGAATTGACGACGGACTTCTCTGTTATTTTCTGATCATGATAAGGAGCACAAGGCGGGTTTGACGGTCGGCAGGGGATGCTTACTCCTCCATACCACCTGATCTCACCTCTGGTGTTTTGGAGGTCCGAGTTTGCTCTTCTCCTATTTTATATTGTTTTGTGGACGTTTGATCTTGAATACTGTCCGTTATTGCTATATGTTTCATTC